ATGGGTCTAATATTAATAACTGATAATTCACTTAACCCTCCCAAATTATCCTACACTGGGGGGAATGCAATTTGTCCCAGTTTGAGATGAGAAAATTGTGAAATAGAGAGGTTAATTAACTTTTCAAAAGTGTGAGACCAATTCTAATGCACAAAGCTTACTCACTATGCTGTGCTGCCTTCAAAATGACAGGATAGGGCTCCTTAAAATCGTATTCAATTTAGAACATTTTATATTTGCTGTCTATCACCTGATCTACCTAATCTATTTTAAGTTTTAAAACTTATATTTGGTCACATCTACCATCTTTGTTTTAAAACCTTATAGGAATATAGTCATTCTCCATGCAGAGATTAGAAAAACACTGAATGCTCTATAGTTAGTTTTTAACAGTGTAATTTTTAAAAAGGTATTTAATCATTAATTCTTTGGGATTTATTTTTGATGTGAGTAATACTTGGTTTTCTTCCAAATAGATATTCAACTAGCCCAGCACCATCTGCTGAATAACAATCATTTCTTCCCCCTCAAGACTCTGGAGAGAATCTTAAGCTAGACTCTTTTGAAGAAAAATGTATACTACTACTGGTTCAAGTGGCTCAGCAATCAGAAATTCCCAACAAATGTGAACACATATTCATTCCCACTTTTAATTAAACAAACAAAAAAAAATTTAAAACACCATTTCTCCCCCATTTGTTTGGCAGACCCAAAAGTTCAATACCCAGCCAGAATTGCTGGAACAGAAGATATGTGAGAGAATTGCCAAACTGTCCTGCAGAGAGATCCAACCAATGTACAACCCACCAGCTGTCTCTGAGCACATCCATTTCCCCACAGTCTCGACCACACAGTGAGCTATCAAACTTATTGATGCGTGCTACTCTAATGAGTGGGGAAAAAACAGAACTACTGACTTTTCAAAGTTCATATCTTATATAATGAATAAAAATGAGTACCATTCCGTATATTTAAGAGACATTTACACTTCCTTTTCTGTGAACTGTTGTTGATCAAACTTAAATGCACTAATGTTTCAGGATGAAAAGTTTTAACTTCTTGAGTTCCTGAGGTCTATTAATTTCTTTATGTCATTTTCATATAAATCCAGACTGTTAGTTCCCTGTAGGCAGTCTCTTAATCTGTCTTACTGCTGCTGTTTTAGGTCTAAGGCTTAGAACCCTTGATGGCATAGAACAGACACTCAGATCTATTTATTAAGCAAACAAGTGCATGTATGTAACAGTAAAAAACAAAAAAACTAGAAACAACCTGGAGGCAGATTAAACATGGCCACAAACTCCTGATAGCTTCTCTCATCAATGGGTGAATTTATTTCCTCATTTCTTGAATCTAGGGTGAACTTGTGACTTGCTCTGATCAAGAGAATGTGGCAGAAGTGTCTGCTGTTCTGAGACCTGGCCTTGAGAGATCCTGCAGCTTCTGCTCTGGCTCCTTTGGAATATTTCTGCCATTATGAAAGGCACAGGCTGCTCTAGGGCAGGATGAGAGGTGAATCAATTGCAAGACACTGTGAGGCCACCTTAGACCGTACAGCTTGAGGTGAGCACAGCAGACCCACCCAACTGCACCCAGCCTAATGGTCTTATGAACAAATATGCAGTGGTCATCTTGAGGCCTCGAGTTGTAGTGTGGAGTGGTTTGTTATGCAGCAATAGATAACTGATGTAAACTTCAATGTCTAATGAGAGACTGGCTAAAGACATTATGGGTCATCCCTATTAGGAAACACTGTAGTAATTATAACTACAGAGTGGAAAGATGTCCAAGATATATAAATGAAAAAGTCAGTCCTATGAGATCTCAGATCTAGACCTACAAATGCCAGTGATAAAACCCTGTGATACAGGTTCTGTATAGATGTACTCAGTGACACATGTACTATTACTAACCCTACTTTATAAATGGAAAAACTGAGTCCCAGAGAGGTTAGTCTGTTCAAAGTTCACATAGTTAAGTTGCTGAGCTATAGAATGAGCCCAGGAAGTCTGGCTGCAAAGCCTGTGCTCCTAATACATGATGATGTACTGCTCACTCTAGCACCACCAACGCCATTTCTCCACTTTAATCTATTTACAGACCTTCCCTGCTTCATTGTATTCATCCAAAATCTACATTTCAAAATTAACTTTCTGGATTTTAGTGGTGTTAATTATTATCTGGATAGAGCAATCTCAAGGTTCATAACCTTAACATAAGGAAAGTAAGCTTTAAAAAGCCTTACAAATAGTCTTATACAAAACTCAGGACTAACTATAGAAAACAATAAGAAAACCAACAGGAGGAAAGCCTGGAAGGTTTATTTATCATGAAGTCTTAATTATGCAGTTTTTTGTTACATATACACCTTTTTCAAAAGGCAACTCAGGAAATAAGATTTAGTTAACATGCTTGGGACAATGTAATAGTTACATGCTGCTCGATGACATTTCAGTCATCGAAGAACCACGTGTGCAATGGTGGCACACCTTCTGTATAGCCTGGCTGCGCACTACACCACCCAGGTCTGTATGTAAACACACTTTGTGATGTTTGCACAATGACAAGAAATCGTCTAATGACGCATTTCTCAGAATGTATCCTTGTCATTAATTGGCAAGGTGTATACAAGTTACATATCAGGAATATGTACAATTATGTGAAGTTCTAAATATTAAAATCCTACAATTTCTAACTGGCTAGAAGATGTGCACACATTGGTACAGAAAAATGTTACAGGTTATGTTGGGATTCTGGTAAGTAAAGAGTATTTTTTATCCTCTTACTTATTCTTTCTAAACTTTCGAACTGTCTACCATGATAATATACTATCTTTCTACCAGAGATTTTATTTTATTTTTTAAAGGATTTTATTTATTTATGTTTAGACAGAGGGGAAGGGAGGGAGGAAGAGAGGGAGAGGAGCATCAATGTGTGGTTGCCCTTTGCAGGCCTCTAACTGGGGACCTGGCCCACAATCCAGGCGTGTAACCTGACTGGGAATCGAACCAGTGCCCCTTTGGTTTGCAGGCCAGGGCTCAATCCACTGAGTCACACCAGCCAGGACTATATGAGAGATTTTAAAGGACAGTTCCTTCTATATCTAAAAGAAATTCAATTTTAAACACCAAGTGTTTCTGAAACTTAACTCAGTTTAACACATGAAACAAATTCAACATCTAAGTAGACAATTAAAATGAAAAAATATATACACATGCCCTGGCTGCTTGTGGCTCAGTTGGTTCAGCGTTGTCCTGTGAACTGAAAGGTCGTCAGTTCAATGCCTATTCAGGGCACATGCCTGGGTTTAAGGTTCTGTCCCCAGTCAGGACATGTATGCGATGTAGCCGATTGATATTTCTCACATCAATGTTTCTCTCCCTCTTTCTCCCTCCCTTTCCTTCTCTAAAAAAATTTTAAAAAATCAAAATAAAAAGTTCTATTTCTAAATACTGAAAATATTTAAAAAAAAAATACACATACAGCGTGGGCCTGTGAACCAAAGGATCGCGATTCGATTCCCAGTCAGGGCACGTGCCTGGGTTGCAGGCCAGTTCCCAGCAGGGAATGCATGAGAGGCAACCATACATTGATGTTTCTCCCTCTCTCCTTCCCTTCCCCCTCTAAAAACAAATAAATAAACAAAAAAAGCCCACATACATAAAATAACAAAAATTAGAAAAAGCTACTTTCAACAGAAGACTGAATGAAAATACTGTAAACTCATTAAAGATAAACTAGACGTATGTACTGACATGGAAAAATATGACAATTACATTAACAATGACTTCTAGGAATAATTACTTAGTACAAATACACATACGTACGGCAATACCTGGGAATTAGGATGCACACAACTTTGGGGTGGGGTTATTCTGCCTACTACAAATCTATATAATAAAAAAATTGCTACTTAATATATTTAACAAATACATGTTAAATAAGTATAATTATTAAACAAAGTTAACTTAAAAATATCAAAGAATAAAATCTAATGTATTACCTTTTCTTTTTAAGAGAGTGGGGAAGGGAGGGAAATTGAGAGAAACATCGATGCATGTGCCCCAAATGGGACTGAACCCACAACCCAAAGGTATGTCCTGACTGGGAATCAAACTCATAGCCTTCTGGTTTACGGGACAACACTCCAATCAACTAAGCCACATTGGCCAGGGTTAATATATTAATTTTTCTTTTATAAATCATGCTCTTGGAAACCTATCTAAGAAATCATGTAACCTAAGGTCTTGAAGATCGTCCTGTTTTCTTCACAAAGCTTAATAGTTTCAGCAGGTTTTTGTTCCTTTTCTCCTTTTTGCATACAGATGTCTAATTATTCCAGTACCATTTATTGAAGAGACTGATACAAACAATACAGATAAATCTCAAGTGGAAGAATCTAGGCATAAAAGGCTATATATTCAGTATAATTGGATGTATATTACATTCTATAAAAGACAAAACTATAGGGACAGAAATGAGATCAGAAATTGCCAAGGACCAGGGAAGGGAGCTGAGTACAAAAGAGCACAAGGCAACTTTTGGGGTTGAAGGAACTACTTCATTATCTTGATTGTGGTGGTGGTAACATTACTGTATACATTTGTCAAAATTCAAAGAACCACACAATTAAAGAGCATTAATTTTACTCCACACAAATTATTCTTCAACAAACTTCACTATGAAAATTATTAAATGATAAGATGAAAAAAAGAGTAATTTGATTTGCAGGACCCTACTTTTTAAGCCGTAAAAAAGTGAATGTAATCCAAGTTACAAAGTAGCAAAGAAACTGTAAGGCAAAAAACTAGACAGTCACTCTGAGACTCTTACTCTACTGCCACTGCTCCTAAATAAAAGAGAGCAATAAACAGTGAGCAATAAATAGTCATCATCTAAAAGCCACAGGCTAACTTTTCAGGCTACTGACTTAATGATTTAACAAGTAAAACAAACAAGAAGCTAAGTCTAAGAAAAATTATCAACAAAATAATATTTACCTTTGGAGTCAGCATTTGGGAACAGCCTGTTCCATGGCACCTTATTTTTGTGCGGGAGAGAAAGTAAATAGTTTCTAGCTTTTAAATTGATTATGCAGTTCAGATCTTCCTGTGATGGGGATCCAAGAATACCTATCAGATAAAATAATTAGCTGTCAATTATCAAGGCCAAAGTAAACTGACCACACACCATCAGCTGAATGGGAGAATGGACCTTAATAATTAATGTCTTCTCACACCACCTCCCATTGCTTACTTTTCTTAATAATTTTTAAAGTATATTTTATTGATTATGCTATTACAGTTGTCCCATTTGTTTTCTTCTCTTTATTCCCCTCCACCCTGCACCACTACACTCCTACCAGCATTCCCCCACATTAGTTCATGTCCATGGATCCTACATGTAAGTTCTTTGGCTTCTCCATTTTCTATACTATTCTTAACCTCCTCCTGACTATTTTGTACCTACTATTTATGCTTCTTATTCCCTGTACCTTTTCCCCCATTCTCCTCCCTCCCCATCCCCACTGATAACCCTCCACATGATCTCCATTTCTGTGATTCTATTCCTGTTCTGGCTGTTTGCTTAGGTGTTTGGGTTTTTTGTTGTTGTTGTTCAGGTGTTGATAGATGTGAGTGTGTTGTCATTTTACTGTTCATATTTTTAATCATTTTTTCTTAGATAAGTCCCTTTAACATTTCATATAATAAGGGCTCGGTGATGATGAACTTCTTTAATTTGACCTTATCTTGGAAGTACTTTATGCGCCCTCCAATTCTAAACGAAAGCTTTGCTGGATAGAGCAATCTTGGATATAGGTTCTTGCCCTTCATGACTTTGAGTACTTCTTGCCAGCCCCTTCTTGCCTACAAGGTTTCTTTAGAGCTGATAGTCTTATGGGAACTCCTTTGTAGGCATCTGTCTCCTTTTCTCTTGCTGCTTTTAAGATTCTCTCCTTATCTTTAATCTTGAGTAATATAATTATGATATGTTTTGTTGTGTGCTTCCTCGGGTTCAACTTCTTTGGGACTCTCTGAGCTTCCTCGACTTCCTGGAAGTCTATTACCTTTGCCAGATTGGGGAGGTTCCCCTTCATTATTTTTTCAAGTAAGTTCATTTCTTGTTTTTCCTCTTCTCCTGGTACCCCTGTGATTCAGATGCTGGAACGTTTAAAGTTTTCGCACAGGTTCTTCAGCCTTTCCTCATTTTCTTGAATTCTTGTTTCTTCATTCTGTTTTGGTTGAATGTTTCTTTCTTCCTTCTGCTCCAAACGATTGACTTGAGTCTCAGTTTCCTTCTCTTCTCCTCAAGGAATGTTCCTTGTTGGTTCCTATATATTTTTCTTTATTTCACTTTGCATAGCCTCCACCTTTTCTGAGAGCATCCTGATGACCAGTGTTTTGAACTCTGCATCTGATAGGTTGGCTCTCTCTCCATTACTTAGTTCTATTTTTGGAGTTTTGGTTTATTCTTTCATTTGGGCTGTATTTTTCAGAAAATGTATGTATTTTCATTTGGGCTGTCTTGTCACACCTGTACATTGTAAGGGGTGGAGTCTTAGGCATGTCCCAGGGCAGGGCAACCCACCTCACTGTATGTGTTGTGGCACTGTATGTGGGAGAGGGGTCAGAGAGGGAACAATGCCCATTGCTTGGCTCTTGGCTGGACTTTAGCCACTTCCCCTGCTCCTCACAAGGAGACTGGGCCCTTCTGGTGCTATTTCCTGGGTGGGTGCATTTGTGTATGTTCTAGGATCCTGTGGGTCTCTCCAATGAACTCTCCTGTGAGGCTGGGAGTTTCTCCCACTGCTGCAACCCCCATAGATTTTTACAGTCAGAGATTTTGAGACTTTCTTTTCCTGTGTTGGAACCCTGGGTTGCGCACTCTGTCTCACTCCCCAGTTGTTCCTCTTGGTTAATCCACAAGCAAATGTGGGACCACCCGGTCCATCAGCAGCCACCTTGTACCCTCCCCGAGTCCCCCCACCCTCTAGCAGCTGCCTTGCCACGCATCCTCTCTGCACAGCTGCTGGTCTCTGCCACTCCCACCAGTCTCAATGAATATTTCTTCTTTAACTCCTTGGCTGCTGGACTTCCATACACTTCCATTTTCTGGCATGTTTGGTTATTTTTTGTTTTTTAATTTGTTGTTGTCCTTCTTTTGGTTTTGCAAGGAGGCAAAGTGTATCTACCTATGCTTCTATCTTGGCCAGAAGTCTTACTAACCAATTTTTACAAGGGTCCTTAACATTTATTATTTTTAATCCCCACCTGAGGACATTTTTTCATTGCTTTTTTAGAGTGAGAAGAAAGGAGAGAGAAGCATCAATTATTTGCCTCCCACATGTGCCCAGACCAGGGATCATGAACACCTGTAACAGGGATTAAACCTGCAACCCTTTGGTTAGGGGACAACAATCCAACCCACCGAGCAACATCGGTCAGGGGAGCAAGGGTCCCTGACATTTTCAATCAAGGAAGGGTTAAAAACTCATGTCTGTCATAGGTTAAAGAGTCGCAAGGATTCCTAATTTAATGAAATGACTTTAATGTAAATTGTGGGTAGATGATCTAGGTAAATCTAGCTCCTAATGTGCCAAGGAACCTTACCCAGAATGTGGTTCAGCTGGTCGAGATAATGCTTCCCCGGAAAGATGGGCCTGTTGGATAGCATCTCTGCCAGAATGCAGCCTACAGACCAAATATCAATGGACTTGGTATAGCCCTGCAGTAGAAAGCGAGAAAAAACAGAGAATGGTATCTGGTGTTATGTGGCACAGTAAGACCTTCCTATGTGACAGGCACATGACTGTCAGGAGTTTTAGCTTCTTCTTTGGTTCTACGATTCATAAATAATTGAAAAAAGATGGAGAAACCAATAATAATTTGTCTTCCTTAAAAGATGCCAAACAACTACTTAATTTTATTTCTTTTCAAACTTGATTAACATTATTAAATCAAAATTTTCAAAGTCCACTACAGTTCTTTTTTTCAAATAATTTGAGAGACAGACTTAGAATCCTGGAAACCAGAAAAAGCAGTAACACCCATTGCTTTGTGGCCTATTCACTCATTTTGGAAATCTGGAACCAACTCAAAAGAAGAGGCACTGCTACACTTCCAATATATTTTTAAGGATTTTGCAAATTATCTCTAACAAAGTCAAGCTAAAAACTCTTGATCTCTTTAAAAAAAAAAAAAAAAAAAGCCCTGGCTGGCATAGCTCAGTGGATTGAGTGTGGGCTTGGAACCAAGCAACCATGGTTCGATTCCCAGTCAGGGCACATGCCTGGGTTGCAGGCTAGTTCCCAGCAGGGGACACATGGGAGGCAACCACACATTGATATTTCTCTCCCTCTCTCCTTCCCTTCCCCTCTAAAGATTAAAAAAAAAAAAGTGTGCTCTGTTTCCAACATATTTTACCAATCCCTATTTCTTGTCTTCTTTTTCTATTAATTTTTCGCATATAATTTTTCTTTTCAAGAAATTCTATGAAAAGACGAAGAATGATTTAAATCATATAACACTGCAAAAAAAGCTTAATTGTAAGGAAAATGCTAGATATAATGATAAAGGGAAGAGGAAATATGAAACACAGAGAAGAATTTTGCTAAATAGTAAAGTTTAGGGAAACAGAGCAACATTTTTTGGGGGGAAATCAAAGAATTACTAATCAGAATTACAGCTATGATAAAATGAGGTTGAATTTCAAGATAATTCTTTCTGAAATTCTTGTCATCCAAAATAACTTTTGCTTTGGACCAAAATTACATAAAGAGGAACATCTAAAATACAAAAAAATAACTAGTTAAAAGCAACCAGGGCTCCCTGGAGAAATGGCCACTCCAAGCCTGGGACAGGGAAGTAGTATAAAGTAAACCTGGCACATCTAGTGCTGAAGAACAAGTAAAGTGGGAGCATGTCAAAGTGGCTCCCACTGAAAAATCTGACATAGTCTCAGCATCAAAATACAGAATGGTAGATATGGATTATAAGTCACTGAATAAAATAACCGTGAATTAATAAATTAACCATTCTTGCTCTAAAACAGAGCAAGAATGAGAGTTCTAAAATCATCAATGGATAGTAAAACTAGTGGCTGAAAGTTTGATGAAGTTAACATATAGTCTTAAAGAATTTCCTCACAAATTCCTATTAATTATTAACTTATTAACAATTATGGTTAGTGTAATTAACCATAAAAATGGTGGAGACCTGGAGGACTAGAAGTAACATTCTCAGGCTGCAAATAGAAAATAATTTTACTATAGTTAGCTCTGCAAGGAGAAGAGAGACCTAGCCAGACACCTTGCAGAACAGAAGCCACCCTCTCTGGCTACTGACCCCTAGACGATGACTGAGAAGTGAAGTCAGTGGAGGCATCTCGAGTTAGGATGGAGGCTGTATGACCAGGGAGCTACCAGAATAAAAAGCATACTGACAGTTCTCCTTTATAACTAGCAGGCACCAAACACCAGCAGTGAGTGTATCGAATGGCTATCACGTGGCCACTCCAAAGAGAGAACCTGGTATGTGGGATTAGTTGTAATACAAAATTTTATAAGAGAATCAACATAGTTTCTTCTTCTTTAAAACATGTTGTATCAAATCCTTCTTTATAATTCAATTTAATGAAATTTTACTTTGAAAACTGAACTGAATAAATATGATATCAAAAATAACAAACCGCTTTAAACAAATTCCATTTCCTCACAAAAGCAATGTAATGTTCATCCCAAACTCTTCTGTTGCATTACTTATAATGGATGGAGGAAGAAAAATACAATTTTTTATGGTCCCTGGATCTGAGATACAACATCCAATGTCTGTCTGTCTATCTATCTATCTATCTATCTATCTATCTATCTATCTATCTATCAATCAGAGAGAGGGGAAGGGAAGGAGAAAGAGTGGGAGAGAAACATCAATGTGTGGTTGCCTCTCACGTGTCCCCTACTGGGGACCCGGCCTGCAACCCAGGCATGTGCCCTGACTGGGAATGGAACCAGTAACCCTTTGCTTCACAGGCCTGTGCTCAATCCACTGAGCTACACCAGCCAGGGCCGAATGTCTATTTTTATTGCTTTTCTTCATGTTTCTCTCTTAAAAGATTTTTATCTATTTATTTTTAGAGAGGGGAAAAGAGGGAGGAAAAAGGTGGGGGGTGGAAACATCATTGTATGGTTGCCTCTCACACACCCCCTACTATGGACCTGGCCTGCAAACCAGCCATGTATCCCAGACTGGGAATCAAACCAGTGACCCCTGGGCTCAGAGGCCGACACTCAGTACATTGAGCCATACCAGCCTGGGCTCTTTCTTAAAATATAACCTTTATTATCTTTTTTTCATTATCATTTAGCTCCCTTATACCCCCTTTCCCAAGCAATCACCACAACGTTGTCCATGCTTTTCTTGTTTCTTAATATTTCATTATGGTAAATAAAATTAAGATCAAGAATCTCATAATTCTGAGATATTAGATACAGGAAGTATGTCAGGCCTACTTAAGTTTCTAAGTTTGACACCTTATTCACATACTATTTGCAAATTATATATTAAAAATACTGAACCTCAATCTCCACAGAAGCCCTCAATACTTGCCACTTGTTTCATAAGCATAACAAAGATATCATACTTCACTTTTTCTTGCTTTTATATATTTATTCAATTATTTCATCTAAGACTCAAACCTCACCGGAAGAGTTTGCTTGCAAACTAGATGCATTCTTCATCACCACATGGCGATCAGATGAACAAGATCATCATATAATTTTGGAACAGTCCATAGCATTTCTATTCTTTTCCTACCTAAGTTGTCTCCAAATTATAATTTTGCTGGAGACACTCTTATCGTCAGATAAAGCTGACTGTTACAGAACAGCCCCAGTCCACGTTCACAGAAAGACACTATTGGATAACTTGTTAGAGGTTAGCACCAACTCAAGCTGCACCCAGCAGTGGCGGCAGCAGATGTAAAAGCTGCCACAGGTAACACCTCAGCAGAGGTGGCCAAGGACAAAAACCATTTATTGTAACTGACCAGAGACAGAGGCACACCCTCCAAAGCTGTACTCCATGTCAGCACTACTCCAGTGGAGGTGCAGAGGCCAAAACCCAGGGCCCAGAGCTTGAAGCTGAACAGGAAATTATGACAGCACCTTGGTTCTGGCCAAACGGGCCATATGAAACCCAGGTGGAAACAGGCTTACTGAGAAGGGAAGCCTACTGTGACACGTGACTGAGGGTCTTTTGCTTGCTCGTTTTCTTTTTATGTAAACTTACTCCTTACCTTGGAATTCAACATAATTTCTGGAGCCCTGTACCAACGGGTGGCTACGTACTCCGTCAGGAAGCCTGTGTGATCATGGTCTGGATCTGCAACGCGTGCCAAGCCAAAATCACATATCTAAGGGAAGAAGAAAAAAAATGTACTTCTTAGACACTCTAACCAATTTAATATCAAAACATCATAAGAATAAAAAACACAAGACTACCAGTCAAGATGGCAGCATGGGCAGACCTGGTTGCCCCTTTGCACAACCAAATCAAAATTACAACTAAAATATATATCAATCATCATTCAGAACTATCAGAAATTGAGTTGAGTGGAAGTCTGGCAACTACGGGATTAAAGAAACCACATCCATCCAGACTGGTAGGAGGGGCACAGATGGGAACTGGCTTGTCCCACACACATGTGGTCAAGGAAAACGTGGGAGTGCTATCTCAGGAGTGAGGAGTCCCAGGCCCACACAAGGGCCCAGCCGGAATTCCAGTGCTAGGAAGATAAGTCCACACAACTTCTGGCTGCAAGAGCCAGGCGGGATTAAGTTGGTGGAAGAAACTGCTGGAGCCCCAAGCAGCTCCTCTTAAAGAACCCACACTCGGACTCACCTACTGAGCTCCAGACTCACTCCCTCTGAGCTCCAGCACAGGGGTAGCAGCTTGAAAGGCACCAGTGGTGTACGGGGAGGGACAGAAGTGTCTGGCACCAAGGCAAGCAGAGGCCATTATTCCTTTTCTAAATCCTTTCTCCCATAGAGCCAGCAAGCTGGTACCCTATCTAAGACTCCATCAACCTGGCTAATACTGACCCGCTTTGAAGATCCTCAGAGACCCTGTCCCACCCAATTTAGGGCCCACCCAAGCTGCTTTTCCATAGGAATGGCTGGTCTTGGCTCATGCTTCAAATTTCCTAAATCTCCTCAAAGAACAATAGTTGGCCTCAGTGAGCCCCAGACATAGCACTAGCAGCAGCAGGCTGAGATTAACAGCTTGTTTTGCCTGGGAATCTCCAAGCCCAGCACCAGTAGCAGTCATCTCAAATTGCTTTAGGCAGGGTGCCCTGGGCAAAACACAGGTGGGGGGCTGATCTTGCCCTGCACCACCCAGGAAACCCCAGGACCAGCACACCCAGTGGACAGCTACAGACTATGTTAGAACACCACCACCCTGCTCCTGCACAGCTGATCTTCCACTGAGGGCAGAGGTTGGTGGTATGTGGTCACAGACAGTCCATACGGTTAACTGGCCTGGCTAAATCCCTCCCATTGATCTACCAACAGCAGCCAAAGCTTGACTATAAGAGGAGGGTGTACTTAGTTCACACAAAGGGCAGCATCTCAACTACCCAGCTTGGGTGATAGGGGACGCTGTGCCACTGGACCCTATAGGACACCTATTACATTAGGTCACACTACCAAGACAGAGTCAAAGCAGCTCTACCTAATACATAGAAACAAACACAGGGAGGCTGCTAAATGAAGAAACAAAGAAAATGGCCCTAACGAAAGGACAGATCAAAACTCTAGAGGAAAGAGCTAAATGAAATGGAGATAAGCAATCTATCAGATGCAGAGTTCGAATCCCTGGTTTCAAGGATGCTCAAGGAACTTAGTGAGGACCACGGCAGCATAACTAAGATCCAGTCAGAAACGAAGGATATACTAACTGAAATAAAGAACAATTTACAGGGAAACAACAGTAGAATGCATGAAGCCGAGAATCAAATCAATGATAGGGAACATAAAGAAGAAAAAATCAACCAATTAGAATAAAAAAAAAAAGGATCCAAATAAGCAGCCTCTGGGACAACTCCAAGAGGTCCAACATCTGCATTACTAGGATGCAGGAAGAAGAGAAAGAGCAAGAAATTGGAAATATATTTGAAAAAGTAATGAAAGAAATCTTCCCTAATTTGGTAAAGGAAATAGACAAGCAAGTCCAGGAAGCAGAGAGAGTCCAGTCCCAAATAAGACAGATGCAAATAGGCCCACTACAAGACACATTGTATATAAAATACTAAAGGTCAAAGATAAAGAGAAAAATCTAAAAAGCATCAAGGGAAAAGGAAGTCAGTTCCCTACAGGGGAATTCCCATAAGACTGTCAGCTGATATCTCAAAAGAAACTTTGCAGGCTAGAAGAGATTGGCAAGAAATATTCAAAGTCATGAAAAGCAGGGGCCTACAGCCAAGATTGCTCTACCCAGAAAAGCTGTCATTTAGAATCAAAGGGTAGATAAAGAGCTTCCCAGATAAGAAAAAACTAAAGGAGTTCGTCACTACCAAACCATTATCATATGAAATGTTAAAAGGATCTTATTTAAGAAAAAGGTCAAAACTAGGAGCAATATTATGGCAAAAATACATTATCTATCAACAACTGAATCTAAAAAGCAAACTAAGCAAAGAATAAGAGACAGAATCATGGATACAAAGAGTGTTTTGATGGTTGCCAGATGGGAGGGGCATATGGGGGAATGGGTGATGAGGTAAGGGGAGCAGGAAGTACAAATAGGTACTTACAGAATAGCTGTGGGGATGTAAAGTACAGTATAGAAAATGGAGAAGCCTCAGAACTTATATGCATGAGCCAAGGACACGAACAATAGTGGGGGGATTGCCTGAGGGAGTGTAGGGTGCTGGGTGGAAGAGGGTCCAGGGGGAAAATCAGGACAACCAGTAACAGCATTACCAATATAATTTTAAAAAGGTAATAGCAATAATGATGGTAATATGTAGCTGCAACTAAACTGGTCTTTATAAAAATAAAGTTACCAAAAACCACCCAGGATCCTTTCTAGCGCCCCCACCTGCTGGCACTCCCAGTATCCTCACTGCCAGGATCAGCCCCTCAACCCACACTTCTACTGCTCACACTTCACTTCCTGCTGTCCTTCCAACTGTTCCATGAATGTAGTTATTTCCAAAGATTCTTTCCACTTTCTTCTTCCCTCCTTGTAGTCAAATATACTCCTAGAACTTTAAAAGAGGTTTCATATTCTGAAGGAAATCTTTTTTCCTTTAACACCCAGCTTCTAATTTCTTCTGACTCACAAAAAGTACTGCTGGCTTTCCATCATACTTTGGCCATTCCGTACTTTCATGCTACTACTCCAGATTCACGTGCATAAAATATAACTATAATATAGTTAGTCCAATGAAACTGCAGGATGTTTTAATTCCTTGGTCTCTGGGGAACTAACCTGAGAAAAAGAGAAGCATGTCAACAAAGCGTATAGAAGGCAGCTTTCCAGTCTCCTTGGAAAGCGGAGACTAGTTTGGAAAACAGAGATGTTTATTATATATAAGCACACAACCACAATCTATGATCCTTGTGTATATCCCTTTCTCCCAAGCTAGAATGGAAGTTGCTAGAAAAAGGCAATACATAACTTACTTTTTATTCCTAAGTGTCCTATACATAGTGAGCACTCAAATTTGGTGAACAAATGCCTTACTTTAGATGTTTTAGGAAGCATGAAAAGTGGTACGAATTAACTGGCAGACATTCTAGATCAGTAAGCAGGTCCTTGAATAACATCGCATCGATGAATTTCATCCACTGGCATTTTGTTATAATGTTGATAAGAAACTTAACTTTTGCTTATATCAATTAGCTTATGTAAAACAGGTCCCATTATGCCATTTTGCATAAAGTTGAAGAACCTATCAATGCTGTTAAGAGGATTTACTATATTTTCACGCTATCTGAAGTATTGATAAGCTCTTAAAAATAAGCAGGGTAGAAGTTACCAGGTTAAAATATGACAATAATCATGTTAATAAAATTACATTGTTCAAAGTGGCAATATTAAGGAGGAAAGAAAAATAAAAAATTGGAATTACTAGCATTCCTTCCCAGAAAAGATAATTGTACCTATCAGTCTAAATCCTGCAATACATCTGTTTCTTCAGAGTTAAAACTAAGGGTAGTTAAAACTACTCTTCTTCATTCTCTCCTTCCAGGAAATCTAGTCTAGAAGCTATCAGATGGGATCGGGTATCCTAAATAAGGGTCTCTGTGGGGTGAGGAGAACCACAGCAGCCCAGTGGGGTAAGTAGCATCCAAGTAGAGTTGAGAGTAGGCACCAGATCAAGATATGATCTAGGTGTGAGATGAAGAGGAAGTCCATGTGGAGACACAGTGGCCGCTGACCCAGGGGATTAGAGTTTGAGCAGGGCTAACAGGGTCCATGGATTGTACTGCACAAATCAATTATTTCATTGGAAGTTACAAAATGATAATTTTCTAATTTCATTATTCCTTTTGCATTTATTGACTGGCATTCTTTTTAAAGAAGAGCTACCCTGCCTGGGGAGCTCAGTTGGTTAGAATGTCACCTTGATACCCCAAGGAAGTGGATTTGATCCCTGGTCAGGGGATGTGCAAGGATCAACCAATGTACTGAGCAACAAATCAATGTTTCTCTCTCTCTCTTCCTTATATCGACATTTCTCTCCCTTTCTTTCTCCCTCCCCTCTCTAAAAATAAATTTAAAAAAATTTAAACATAAAGAAAAAAAAAAAGGAGGTCAGCTGTTGTTTATCAACAAGAGCGATTTGTTTATCCTGATACAGATTCTTCTAGACAGAAAAAATGTTTAATTCTTTTCCTTTAGTTATCAATTTCTACAATAGCGAATTGATGTTAAGTGGTATAATGTGTTATTATTTGTATACCCCCCACCTAGTACAGGGAATAGAATCAGTAGTTTCTCAAAATTTAGGGGATGGGGTGGGGGAGTGGTAGGGAGAAGGCGAAGACAAGTATACTTGAACAACAATAAAAAAAATGGAATAAGCCCTGGCTGGTGTAGCTCAGTGGATTGAGCACGGGCCTGCGAATCAAAGGATTGCGGTTCAATTCCCCGTCAGGACACATGCCCGGGTTGCAGGCCGGTTCCCTGCAGGCCAGTTCCCAGCAGGGAATGCACAAAAGGCAACCTTACATTGATGTTTCTCTCCCTCTCTCCTGCCCTTCCCCTCTAAAAATAAATAAATAAAATCTTTAAAAAAAAAGGAATAAAATACACACAAAAATTTATTAGTTAGAATTTAAAAAATAAAGAGGAAGATATCAGTTTAGATCTTTAAAAGACTTCACAACTCCATGTATGGTCATC